ACATGCTCTTAAATTTACCATATGTAAATTCAAGTGCATGATATACATCAGATGTTTTAGAACATGATCATTATTATAGTTTTTTTTTTAATTTTTTTTTTCCATCAAACACAAAAGGTTGGATGTCTCTTTTAGCAATGTTTATTATTCTTATTAATGTGCAGTAAGGGGATGTACTAAAAAGATTATTAAATTCAGAATATTTTTTGTCAGTGTTTACATTGTGTCTTGTATGATCAATTACATTACATAATACATTATTGTGATGTATAATCACTCATAGACTTTATTTTTAGATCTTTGATTGTATCCATACTTTATTCTAACAATTATTTCATATATGGTTGCAGATAGTTGTAACTGATGAAGCTCAACTTGAAAGGAACTTGAATATTTCAAGTTATAAGTTTTCAACTACAAGAGTCCCGATTAATAAATATGTAATAGATTTTATATGTCACAAACATGAAATATTTTTTTATGTACATACAACATATTTTATTCTGTTAGAATATTCTAATTTTATACATTATTTTGTAAAAATATTCTATATGTACATACAACATATTTTATTCTATTAGAATATTCTAATTTTATACATGTTTGCAATTAGCCTATAATTTTTTATAGCAAATAGCACATAACATTATTCTATTAGAATAACATACATCTCCTTTTTATAATGACAAACATATAATATTATTTTACTATAATATTGTACATATAAACTTTAATTTTAAGCTTATCTAGTATGTGAAAGATATTACCAACATTATAGGGCATTAACTACAAATTTCATGTATTATTATTTATAGCATAACCGTTCTTGAACCATAATATAATTTTATTAAACATTTACCAATCTTTAAACCTTCGGACCATAACTACTGTTTAGCAAAGATTCAACTGTTCATGTTGTTCAAAATATAGAAAACATAGTTGCAATTAAAAAAAAGGATAATCTATATTTATTAACCATTTAACACTTCTAACTATTTTATCAATTCAACAGTCGTCATTCCATTTCTTCCCTTTTTGCTCCAAGTTAAGATGTTTTGCTTGATCACATTTTCCAAACTCCAAAAGAATTATTATACATGAACAATATTCCAAAAGAATTATTATACATGAACATACAACCTATAAAATTATTCTATCAGAATATTCTACATATACATAATAATTAAGTCTTATTAACATTACATATATCTATAAATTATAATATCATTTTTTTGTAAAAAGGTCATTACATATAAATCTATAAAAACCAACAAAATTTAACCCTATTCTTTTAGAATGTTCGAAATATCAATTTTTTTGAGACAGTAAGACCATGAGACCACTTTTCTCTAGTAAAATATTCTAATATTTCAATATTAATAAAAATATAATATATGTAATATTCTAATATTCTAATATTCTAAAACATAGAACATTATTCACATAAAATTATTATACATGAAAATACAACCTATAAAATTATTATATTAGAATATTCCTTATATACATAGTAAGTAAACATTACATATATCTATAAATTCTAAAATATTATTGTAATATAAAATCAACATTTAACATTATTCTAATAGAATATTATAAATGTACAGAAAATCTATAACATTACTCTATTAGAATATTGTACATGAACTCTAACAAAAAATGAACATTTGATCATAAAAAGTATGATATTTCAGATTGGTCAAAGCATAACTATTTTTTAACCAAGATTATTATTTTGTGAAACATTCACTAGCCATTAAAACAACCATAGCTATTGTTCAAAACTAAAAAAAGATAACCAATATTTAAACGAACAAAACACAACCATGTCATTCATAATCAAAGACTTTCAAATATTCTAAAAAAATTATTCATGTCCTTCCATTATGTTTCTTGCAACGATCCATTCATTCATCATTTTTAATGACCATCTTTATCAACCCTTCCTTATTCCTTTGCTTCGTCAGTTACTTTCTTATGGAATTGGAATCTGATTGGTCAAAGCATAACTATTTTGTATGCTTCTTATTTTGCAGAAAACCTTCTTTACCCAAGTCATTATTTCACATTTCCACTTACTGTACCAGAATAAATTCCATCTGTCGCATTAAGAACACATCAGAATCGCATTAAGAACACATCAAAATAAATTTCATTAGTTTTCAATGTGTATCAAACACTAATCCTAGCTACAGTAAATAATTTCAAAAGTATTTAACCGAAACTACAATAAAGAATTTCATTTCTAGCCCAAGCTATAGTGAATCTGCATTAAACACTAACCATAGCTACAATATAAATTTCAGAAAAGTAATTCCTAAATTAGAATAAATTGTTTAACAACTTCCTAAAGCCTATTACAAGATATGATTTAGAATCTACATTATGTAGAATCTAAATCTGAATCTAATATTATCAAACTAAAACATAAATAGATGAATTCAATTATATCAGGATAGAATAACAAATTCTCAAAATGTATTTTAGTTTTGACTTATCAGAGTAAGCAGTAACATCTGGTTAATCGATAAAATAACATCTTAAATCAAATTTATAAAGTAACACCTAACTTTACAAATCATCATACCTAGAATATTAAGTTATCAAAGACTATTTTACTAATATTTTTACTGGATCATCTAACTTATCAAACAAAGTAACACCTGAGTCAAATTAAGAAGTACCATACTACTTATCAAACAAGAATACTTATAATATCAAATTATCAAACAACATTTCACTAAATATTTACTAGATAATCCAAATACTCAAACAAAATAACATATAAAATCAATTTAGGAAGTAAGTTATGTTTGCATAACATTCTATATTTTCAATAACAATTTTATTGCAGAAAATATGAAATCAATATAGAGTGCATTATGTCGAACACCTAGCGGGCGATCACTAAATTTACCAAACACTAACTGACACTAGAAGTATGAAACTAATAAGATAAACCAAACAAACTAAGATATTAAATTAAATTATAATTAAAATTCCAAGAATATCTCTACAGATTTTGTGAATAACTTCATTTATGCATAATAACATAACTTGGATTGTAGATTTATTAACATTGAATTGTTAACAGCAAAAAATGAGTCAATGGAATCATTTATTACATGATGAGAAGAATCCTTCCTCAACTAAGAATCATGAGAAGAAGTGGTAGTTGAAGGATTGGCAGAAACATGATTCAGGATCAGAATATGAATAAAAACGTTTAAAATCAAAATGATAGCGAATCAAATTGATTTTTAGGGTTTTATTGGGGGTTTTGGAAGATCGGTGCAAAGTAGAATCAGAATGAGAAGAAATCTCATAGAAGACACAAACTTAGCGAAATTAACTCTTTTTGAGAAACATTGAGTTGATTTGGAGAATGGCTAAAAATGTGGATACGATCTAGGGTTTTGATTTGACCGACTAGGGTTTTCCAAATTAGAATATGTAGAACAAGAATTATTCAGCAGGTTAATTACACAATCTGAACTCTAAATGTTTGAATTAATACCTGTTTTGCGAAGTGAAGTAGTGTATAATCATAATATGCTTTTGTAGAATAAGGCATTTCCCTTATTGTTTCAATGTGTTTATCATGGTGAAGAGCAAACCATATTAAAATCAAAAACAAATTGTTGAATTTAGAAAAAGATGAAAGATTCATGAATCGGTTTCTAGGGTTTTGAATGCACAAATCTGAATCGAGATTAAATTTGAGTTCTTCTGTGAAGAGGGTTTTTTTGGAAGAAGCAAGATGTAACATGAAGAGATATTGAATGACGGTGGATTATTTTGACGGATAAAAGGTATATTGTCAAAACTACCCCTCCGTGTCCTTCCTCTAATCCTGAAGTTTGGTCAAATTGCAAAATTGCCACCGCCTCTATTGTTTTAATTTGAGTTAATTCTATCCATAAATTATTATGATTAGTGGTTCCGATTCTGTCCCCACGTCTCACAAAATATCATTGTCTCACATGAACTCAACCCTATATATATATATATATATATATATATATATATATATATATATATATATATATATATGTCTCACGGTCTCACAAAATTAGGTCGTTTCACATGAACCTAACCCTATATATATATATATATATATATATATATATATATATATATATATATATAGGTCAATCAACATATTCAAGGGCAATTAATTTTTTTTTAATAATAAAAGAACTCATTAATACTCATTTATCGGTAGACATGATTAAGAAATAAAACTATCTATGGTTGCACACACATGGACACATCCAATTAACAATCATACATTGTGCTAATCCAATCGATTAATTTGATAATCTTTAATTCTACTTTTTGTAAACTTTTAACAGAGTTGATTGATAATTCTTAATTCTACATTTTAATTGATGGTTGCATTCAAATACAAAAGTTATGTTTTATTTTATTATTATAAAATTTGAAAAGCTTACAAAAACTATTGGTCTAATTTTTCTGTATTCTTTTTTCATTTTTTATACCAATAGTCTCATTTTGTAATATTACGAATATTAACCATTAACCAAAATCATTAACTAAAAAAATCATTAATCATAACCAATAATGCCCATAACCAATGGATACCAAAACGCATTAACCAATAGTAACGGTTATGATTAAGTTTGTTAAATAACCGAACCAAACCGTCCCATACACACCCCTATGGAAAAACCTTCAATATAAGTTAGGGTTTTTACATGAATGAAAGATTTTTAGTGGGGAGAAGAACGAGAAGTGTTTATGTTTTAATCGTGATTGCAGATTATTGAATGAAAAGTTGGACAATATTACCCCTTCATGTCTAAGAGTTAACCCCAAAGTTCCATATATTTACAAAAACACCACCGCCTAAAAATTATTTGATCTCAAACCTTGATAAGTAGCTTTGTAAGACGAGTAAAGAAAGTACGGAGCCTAATACTAATTTGTACGGTGCCCTAGTGCTGACTCTTGGGTCCACCACCCTGCACATGCATCTGCTAACGAAGTATGCCACCAATTCCACCAAAACCCTTACAAAATTGATACCCCTCTTCGGATTTGTTTGTCACAAACTCAAGTGTGCATCCGAATTTCTTATACTCATTAGCAAGCCACTCAAGCAATGGCATCTTTTCTTCAACTTCAAGTTCAGCATTTGTCTGGGGGTCTCGAAAGTTACTTTGATCAGCTTCTTGTTCCTTGTTCAAATGCTTTGTAGTGATTTCACTTGAACTACTGTTTTTAAGCACGTACAGATTAACATCAAGTTTCTCCCACACAATGAGATTCTCAACAGCACCCATCTCCAAAGATTCCAAAGTGTCATCAACACCAAACACACACTTGTCCATATCCTGGCTCATCTCTTCAAAATACTTTCCAATCAAACGTTTTTCTTGTATAAACTTCAGATTAGGAAGAACTTCAGAGGACAACTGGATAGCTTGATTGAAACCATGCTCCCCTCCATATGAAACAGCAACCACATTCATGATTTTAGCTCCAAGACAAGGATCAAACATGTCACATTGCATCAAATCGGTTTCCAAACCAGCAGATCCAGCAAGTATAAGACCAGAAACGTTTGATTGACCAGTGGCAGGATTGATGTACAGCTGTGTTGCCAGCTCAGCTGTTTTTCTCACATACTTATGACGTTTCTCCATATGAAAAGCTGCAAATGGAAAGCCAGACTGCTTTCCTCGCCCATGTTTCATTGGTAAATCCTCTGTGAATTTGTGTACAACTTCCCTTGTGTTGCCACTCAATGTCCCAAAAAGTGTCCCGTTAACATCCATGATAATGAAACCAAACATGTCATCAGATTCCAACAGTTCACTTACAGCTTCTGTATGGAACTTGTTATCACAGAGATAAAGGGAGTCCTTGATCGGTTTGAAGGGTTCAAAGTCTTTTGTAACTTTCTTCTCCTTTTTCCCGTCATCAGTAAGTATGGTTCCTGTATAAATCACCAGTCCATTGGGAGGAACCTTGTTGTATCGCATAAGTCTCTGTTGGGCAGATGTTATGGCGCCTAAAACATATTGACGATTCACTCTGCTCTTCATCTTTGAAGTAGTTTCGAATTCATCTTCAAGCATTTTAGTGACTCGAGAAATCTGATCTCGTGGAGGGATAATAAGAGAGATCATGCTGGTACCATTGCCTCTTGCAGCTTCAAGTTCCTTGATAAGGTTCTTCATCTTCCATATCGCTATATTCTTATCGGCTTCATCAACGTCCGACATCTTGACTAAAACAAGCGAAGAGATATTATTATTTTGCAAAACTGTTACACCGCTATTTCAATTTCTACTAATCGTACAAAGAGCGATCAGACAACTCAAAGATCTGAGATAACAATTTAAAAAAATATAAATAAAAAATCCACAGGTTTTTATGAAATCAAAGCAGAGGAAAAGAACTTCAACAATTTCACAATCATTACAGTGAAGCATATCAGGTTTGATCAAACAGATGTAATAACACTTGCTAAGATCTGGGGAAAGAGTTCTTACATAAAGAAGAAGGACGCCTGCGGCTTCGACGACGACTGGTGTCGGTTTTTGGATTGAATTGTGGGTGAAAGTTGAAACTTTTACCCAATTGAAACTTTTACCCAAACATTACCTTTCCGGAAATTGAGGAGCCTAACTTATTTACAAGTCTTTCCGGCCCTAAAAAGATTTTTTAGATATAGGATTTAGGGTTGAATATCGTTTGATTTGTACAAAAATATTCATCTTACCCGATTAGTCTTTCTCACAAAAACACAAAACAAATCTAAAAAAAAAAGCGTTGGACATTTGTGCCCTAACCAAAAAAAAAACACATACAATATCTCCATCATCCCATCTCCGATCATCCATACATGCTAAATTTTGAACTTACATGTTGAATTTATGAGCATACATGCTAAATTTTGGTTATGTATGATGTTCTTTCGAATATACATGCATAATTTTGGTTATATATTTTGTTTTTTTGTACACATGCAAAATTTTGGTTATATATGCAGCTTTTTTGTATATACATACTGAATTTTGGTTATATATGTTGGTTTTTGTACACACATGGTGAATTTATGAACATACATATTGAATTTTTGTTATATATATATATTATATATATATATATATATATATATATATATATATAGAGAGAGAGAGAGAGAGAGTTGATTCGTACACAACACATTTTCTCCGTACACAACAATTTGTGCTTTAAAGTGATGTATTGTATAACTCTATAATGCATCAATTGTTGTATATGGCAAAAAATTATTGTGTACGAATCACTTCTCATATATATATATATATATATATATATATATATATATATATATATATATATATATTGTTTTTTTATATATACATGATGATTTTTTGTTATATATATTGTTTTTTGTATCTACATGCTGAATTATGTATATATATATATATATATTATATATATATATATATATATATATATATATTATTTTGTTTTTACTAACTATTGTGTGCCAGAATGCATAGATCTGGACCATCGGATGGAATATAATCAATGGTCATGATGTGAGAGTCTATGATATTACAGTAAGGTAGCATGTACTATGTACTCACATAATTTTCAGCATAAGGGTATTTTGGACAATTAACTATATTTAAAAAAGGAAATTTTCGAAAATTTAGGGATAATTAATTCTCCTAATTTTAAAATTTTGAATTTTTTTAAAGTAATTCAATATTAATTGATTTAATTCTAATGTATTTTTTATAATAACCGAATTTATTCTGTCAGAATGACATTTTGTTAGAATGATATATTCTATGAGAATGTCAGAATACATATTGAATGCTATAATACATATTCCTATAGAATGAATATTAGTTCATATCTTGAAACATTCTTTTAATTCATGTCATTCTAACCGAATACGTTTATGAGTATCTTAAAACATTCTTGAACCATAAATGAATAAATATTCTGACAGAATACATAATTTGAAGGAATGAACTTCTTGAAAAATAACAAATTGTTGAACCATCAATTGAAAAATAAAAACAAAAATTACACAATTCTTAAAAAATATGTGTAACAATTGCTAAGAATAACATTTATTGTTAAAAAATAAAACTAAAAACGGTTAAAAATTGAAAAAGAAAACATCAAAATCTAACAAAAGGCACTAATAAAAATTGTTGGTGGGAATCACTTTCAATTTTGCAGTCCGTTCTTCAAGCATCTATGAAACGAAATCCAGTTGTAGTTTAGAACCCAATAACACATTAGCAAATGCAAAATAAAAAACTAAAGTCTTTTGTACAAATCTGAAGACAAGTGAATTGCTCCAAAATCCATAACCAATAATTGTAGAAAATGCACAAATTAGTGATGAAATATCATGATTCCATTCCAACAGAAATGAAATTATTGATTTCATTCCCATAGAACTGTTTAAAAATTAAAAAGAAAAAAAAAAAAAAAAAAAACATCAAAATCTAATAGCTTTAAATTCATTATCACAAAAAAGCAACGAACAAAGCAATTCTCAAATTGCTTTAAATCCAACGAAATCAATTTTCTAATTAAATAAGAATACGCCTGTCTTTTAAAATTATGGTCTAATCTTGATTTTAAATGTCTAAATGAACCATATTTTTCATAACAAAAACCAAAAGGAAATAAGAAATTTAGGATTTACCGAGTGACTTCAATTTTCAAATGAAGTTTCAAAATCTAATTAGTGGAGTAATAAAAATAAAAAAAGAAATTCTATATTCTAATTAGTCATCTATATTCTGAAGAAGGAAAATTCTATTGAAAGCGGACGTTAATGAAAAAGAAATTAATTATTTTTTGGGTAGATTTAGACTTAGGCTTCCTAATGCTTCCATTATTATATCAGGTATTTGAATGAATTCTATGTGAATGACTTTTTTTAGTTTATTTTAATTATTTTTCCCCATATTTATAGGCTCATAATTCATAATATTTTAAAGAACTTGTGAAATCGGCGTTTGTAGATTGAAAGATGATATACAAACATTGAAGTTTTTTTGTTTTATAAAATCAAGTTTTATCAAAACCTCCCAAGTATATTATTTAAAAAATCAAAAGTGGATGGAAAAAAAAACTTACCTACTCATAAAGGGAAACGAAGATGCGTGGGATTGCCTTCCTCTTGTTCTTGTCAATAAAGGGTGCCGACCAATGAAGCCTACAACAATTGGGTACCTACATAGTTTCTTGAAGCCCTTTGATTTCTTGAAGAATGAAGAATTTGGTGATCGGGGATGGAGATGATGGTGAAACTGTGAAGCCGATTCATTTGATTTCTTTTTCTCTTTTGTAGGTGAAGAAGACGTGAAAAGAGAGAGATTAGGTCAAACCTAATTATTTTGTTTTCTTAATTGAAGGGATTTAATTAAATGATCTCATTAATTGAATGTGTCAAAAACCCAAAAATACTCTTATTCGTTAAATAAATTATTTAATTATTTGCTAAACTGTGATTGGTGCATTTAAGAACACAATATTTGCTAGAAACATTTGAACATAACTCTCTCTCTCTCTTTCTCTCTCTCTCTCTCTCTCTCTATATATATATATATATATATATATTGTGACATCCTCATTTTCACGGCCAGAAAAGACCGATTTGTTTATGCTTTGTTTTATAAAATTAGAGTAATCTTTTAAAGAAAACGGTTGCGGAATTTGTTTCCAAAACAAGATATGATAATAACTTATCAAAACATTTCTCAAAGAGAACGTATTTTCATTTAATAATAAAACCTCGGGATGTCATGTTCCGATACAGACATATAAGCATAAACAGAACTTACATTCAATTACACTAATGATTTATATCTCATTTAAATCTCTCTGTGAAATATGTCTTCGTATCAATACCTGTGATACAAAGAAAACTGAGTGGGTCAGGCTTGGGAGCCTGGTGAGCATATAAGGTTTTCATCCCACAATGTTATATCATATATTTATAAATATAGAACATTCAAACTTGTACAATTTCAACATATAAAGGCAACTCTTATCCCGCCCCATCGATCCTCAGAACGACACGATCTAAATTCTCGTATCTAAAATTTTCCTTTTTACCTGATCCCTACTCACGGATCTAAAACTATCCTCTTCACCTGATCCATACTCACGGATCTAAAACTACCTGATCCATACTCACGGATCTAAAACTAACCTCCTGATCTGATCCATACTCCTGGATCAATAATTGTACCCAATCCATACTCCCGGAATAAGGACAATTAACTATACCCTAATCCTGATCTGATCCATACTCCCGGATCAATAACTGTGCCCAATCCATACTCCCGGACTAGGGACAATTAACTTAGTCTTAATCCATACTCCCAGACTAATAACAAGTTTTATCTCTTTACCTGATCCATACTCCCGGATCTACAACTAACCTCTTGGTCTAATCCATACTCCGCTGAATAACTAGATCAACAACAACAACATCGGGGCCTCTCATCTGTTTATCACACATCAACTATCTACCCATGTTCTACCCAACATATTAGTAGATAAAAATATATATTTTTATACATAGTTTAATTACCTGTATAGCATTCTCATTCAATACCTATTCCACATAACAGATGAGGCACACCCACATAACACGTATTTCATAGAGAATAAATCAGATCAATGAGATAGAAGAAAGTGAATATACATTCACACACATAACAACAAAATTATACACATAACACGTATTTCGTATAAAATACTTCATAGTTATGCGTTAGAAGAAAGTAACCACACACTCACTTGATTAGAAGATGATCGGACAGCACTACGACTTGTATAAGTAGTATTCTTCGGTAGATCTGGAAGATCTTCACAAAAACCGAGCTCCTTGCGGGCAGAGCTTCGGCTCGGGAATCGCACTTCTCGGGATCTTCGGGGCCTCAGGACTTGCTTCGGGGCTCGGGAATGATACCGGGGCTTTGGGATATTTCTTGCACGAAAAACGATGCAAAAACGCGAGAAAAATGGAAGAAATGAGCAAAGAAGTCGGTTGCCCTCAACACCCTTTTATAGGGGGCTGGAAACCCATTTACGCTGGGCGTAAATCTACATTACGCTGGGCGTAATGGGGATAAGAACGTGACTCCCCCCCCCCCCCCCCCCGGATAATATCAGATATTTTTAATTAAATTTAAATACCGAAATTATTAAATAAACTTCAAAAATTCATATCTTCCTCATACGAACTTTGTTT